GCCGCGAGCGGGACGCGCGGTAGCGGGGGGTAGAGAGCGCGGCGGGGCGCCTCCGCCTGCCTCCTTCCCTCCTCCTCCGGCAGGCTTGGGTGTGGTTTCCTTCCCTAACCAGGCCGGCACCTGGAAAGGAAGGAGGCAGAGCGGCCTGGCGGGGCCTGTGGAGGAGGGAGGAAGGAGACCGGTATGGTTGAAAACTCCCCAGCCCCGTTGCCAGAAAGGGCAATCTATGGGTTTGCCCTTTTTTTAGGATCTTCATTTGGCTTTAGTAAGTATACCGGGTGCTGAATACTTCACCAGAAAGTGTTGCTTTGCTTAGGAGACAAACGTCATTCCGATAAGATCATCTAAAAGGGATCGAAAATGTATTACACCATCTATTGTAAGGGTGCATGATGGAGGACTAAGGGACCAGTGCTTGCCGGACCTGTCGGTTGTTACAAAGACCTGTCATTGCCTTTTGCGATTTCCTCGTGTTTTGTTTGTCTTTAATGTTATTATGAGGTCTATAATAATACTATGAAGTCAAATTATTTTTAAAATTATCTGGATTCTCATTTTACTAACTTGTTTACTAGAATTGAATACATTGTCACTGTTCATAAACCCTTGTAGATAGCAGTAGTGCAACCTTCCCCACTCAAATACTGAAAAAAAAAAATCGATCTGGTCAGGAGTGATGGAAAATAATTAGGGTTATACCAGCATTTCTTTGCTGGTGTGACAGGTGCTTTAGCATTTCGTTGGGGACATCTTGCATGCCCACACAGGACCAAGGCTTGAGAGAGTGAGAACACTTTTTCAACACAAGAAAAGGTGCTGCAAATACACTGTAGTCAAATAACAATCCAGGATCTTACTGTAAGTCTTTCTTCCCGTCAGGAAGTAAGTAGAAATTAAACGAAGTGGGTTTTTGTTCTTCTCACAGGAAACCACTGCAGTTGTATAACTTGTGTCTCTGTTGGGCTACTAACCTGTTCCTCTCAAGTTTTATTAAACCTTTCTCTGCATTATTTGTTAGGGAGAAAAATTTTTCAGTATTGGTTTTGTTGATGTGAAAATGATGCCAGGAATTAAGAAAGTATTTCCAGTAATTTTCTGAACAGTTACATCCAGACACTGCGATTCTGCCAAGTTTTCCTTCAACCAAATGACTCACTGTGTGATCATTTTTTGCTTTAATATTTTGTGCACAGAATCATTTGGCATCCTTTTACTGAAGTTTTTTTTTGTTCTGCAGTTCAACTAATGATAAATTTTTGTCTATCTATATAGGAAATCAGAATGTAACTGTTAAAGCAAATATAATGATATCATATAACCAGCTATAAAATTATGCCCCCATATTGGGTGGCTTTTGTGTCTGAGAGGCATATTCTGCAATGTTTTGGTAGAGCTATTTTGGTTTAAACAGTGTAAACCAAAAATATTTTCTTAGGATGTATCAGTATGAAGCATTACTCTAAAACTTACGAAGGAAGTCTGAACTTCAGTTGTACTGTTATGACTTATTAATTCCTCCATGCAGTGTTGTACCTTATCTGGGCATATGTTCCTGAGACTTGGCTGTTCTCCTTGGGACTAACATACTGGCCTCAAAAGTAAGTTCAACCAGTTAAAGTGTTTAGCCTGAATGTGTGTTAGTATAGGATACCCTTAATTATTTTCAAATAACAACACTTTTTAAAAAATATTGGCCTTGTATTTAATCCATTTTTTTCCTGATGGTACAGGGCTAAAATCTTTATGAAACATTTTTTTGTGTAGATAAGTATCTATGATGAAAAGTCTTCATTGTGTAATGAAAGAAATAGTATTTGAATGTTTTATGAAGTTTGCTGATTAAAATACAGTAAACTAAACCATAGTTAAAAAATAAAAATCTGGAAGGAATCTATTTGATGGTTTATACCAATCTAGCTACAGTGACTCTGCAGTCAGTAATCTTGGGAGAGCAGGGTCCATATTCAGGGGTGGTGTTTCTTTTCCTCTTGGCTAAGTTTGTGCTAGATACAGTAACAATCACTACATGAAAATTGTTATATCATTAGGTGTTTGTTATTATGATATGCAAATTTTTAAATCTCTTTCCTCAGATACTGGGCAGTTGCTTTGCCAGCGTACCTACTAGTTGCTATAGGAATTGGTTATATATTACTTTTTGGTATTAACATGATGAGTACAGCTCCTCTTAACTCCACACATACTATTACAGGTAATGTTATTGGGGTTTTTTTTAAGATTTTGATGCTTAACTGATAATTTCTGTGAATACATATAGGTTATCATATATAATGTAAGTCAAATCTTAAGCTTGAAATATTTTGATCTAGAAAAGGAGTTCTTTGAAATACTGAAGTACTAGAGTGAAAAGATAGCCAGGAGTCTGACTCTTCCCTCTTTGCCGTCTCATGGCAGTGGTTTCCAACTGGTAGTGTGTACTTTGTTATTAAAACAGACCACATTAGTGGAACAGGGGTTAGGCATATAAAGATCTCCCAGGCGTGTGCCTTGTGTTACAAATCAGTGAAAAGTGTCACGGGAGGAAGGATGTGCATGCCTACCTGGCAGTGGCAGAAGTGGGAAGGCACACAGCAGGCAGGGTGGTGCAAAGGAGGCCTGATCAGGTATGTTAGTGATTACCTGCCTAAAAAATCTGTTCTTCAGTTTTTCTCTCAGATTTTGCGTAGCCTTTACTCCTGCCAAGGAGGCATGTTCTGGGTACTTGCAGTATTCTCCAGGCAGCTACATCTTCCTCCATGTGAGGAATTTGCAGGTGGCCGTTTTTGTTAGAAAAAATGCAAACTGTAAAATTTGGCAAGAAATTTACCTACTGCTAAGGCTGCTGAAGTTGTATGGTTTTAACAAACTATGTACCTAGTATTATGTTACACTGAACTGCTAAGGAAAAAAATCAGTTAAGTCTGTAGTTCACATGCATTACTGCAACACTTCTGTTAAGAACTGCCATTTAGTCACCCCTGTGTTCCTGGTCACTCATTCACACTCTTATGTCACCCTCTCATTTGGTGTCAGCCCAAGAGTTTGCGTGGCTGTGTGGCAGGTGGAATGGGGGATGTACTTTGTTTGAAAAAGAACTATATTTGAAAATACTCTTTTTTAGAGAGAGCGGTTCCATAATTGTGTTCAAAGCACACCTGTAAAAATGTTTATGCTGTTACGTGAATGGGTGCTGTGTGGGGATAGGAACAAGCAGCCAAGATAAAAGGGAGGGTGGACAGCATTTCTTAGCCTAAATCCTAGTACAAAGCATTCAAACTACAGACTGAGCTATTCACTGTGGGGATTTTTCTTTGTCTGTTTTATCTTTGGGTAGTTATGGTTTAATGTCATGCAGCATCTTAAAGCAAGCAATGTTGCAGGCAGTAATTTCAGCAGGAGAGTAGGGATGATTTCTTGAGGGGCTCTGCTGATACATGTTGATGTAAAGCGTTTCTGATGACCATCTTCTACCTCAGCAAGATGGGGTCTTCAGCATCACTTATAGTAGCTAAATTTATAAAGTGTTGCATTATATAACATTTTTGAAAGAAAAAAATCTCTAATATGTGAAATGTTCTCATTGTCTCCTGTAGATAACTATGCAAAAAAGCAGCAACAGAAGAAATTTCAAGAAGAAGCAATACCAGCATTGCGGGATATTCCCATCAGTGAAGTAAATAGAATGTTTTTCCTTCATGAGAAGGGAATCTGCAATAGCAGATAGTCATTATTAAGATCTGTTTGAATAAAGGATTAGTAGAAGCATTACATTAGGAAAAATAAAACAAGCTAAAAAAACCCCCCTCTTTCTGCTTGTAGAACAAAGCTTGCTTTTTTTTTTTTTTTTCTGAATTTCTAACTAAATTAGTATTAACGCATTTCATTGAGATGGCTTGATTTTATTATGCGGGCACCTTAATAACCTGCATTGGTATGAGAATTATGCCATGTTAATTTATCTAACCATTCTTGTGGGTTTAAAATAGTGTTCTATTGCTTGTAGATTTCCGCTTGTAATTTCCTTATGAAAGTCAAAGAAATAGCTTTTGGACATAGCTTAATTCTATTTCCCTTTGAATTTGGGGAGAGAAAATGTGTTCCACTAGTCAAGTGCTTGAGGATCTTTTTTTATTACAAGTTATGTTACTTTGGAATGTTTATATTGTAAATATACAATTTTAATTTGTAAATACTAATAAAATGTAGCTATTTTTTACTTGTTAAAGTTAGTCATTTTTCTGTGGTTCTATCATATTTGTCCTGGGTAAAGTTGTATAGTGGTTCTTTCTTTTTTTTTTTTTTTTTCACAATTATTTACTTAGCAAAATGTGTTGATTTTTTTTTTCCCAAAAAATTTATGGGCTTACTGAAATACTAAGATTACCAGAAATAACAAAGGTGGGTTGTGAAGATTTTCTGAAACAAGTCTTGAAATGATTTTTAGTTTTTTAACCCTTCTTAAGAATACTGAGAACTAGGTTCAAGGAAATTTCTGGAAATACAGGAACTGACAGGTCCATCTTACTGTCGTTTAGGTTATAGCAAAAAGCACAGTAACTTGTTATGGCAGTGGTTCAGATGTTTCTTAAACAGTGAATTTTCTTTCATGCATGCATTACTGAGCAGAGGTAGAATTTTTGTTTCCTTTCTTCCAAGAGTCACAAACCCAGTTATATTCAGTAGTCAAGGTTATTTAGTTTGGTTATAAAGACCAGTGAATAGAGCCTCATTATTGTTTGGCCTACCAACTTCTGACCAGAAGAGATTTTAGTTAAAAACGTCACTATTTCATTAAAAAATAATAAGATTTTTTTTTAAATTTGTGTGGAGAATCTTGTGCCAGTTTTTTAGGAATCAGTCAAAACAACTATCAGTTGCTGTGGGAAGTCTTAACACCTGCTAACAATCTGGTATGAATATGAAATTTGTAGTTTCTTGGTCCTCTAATCTTTAGTAGTTTGCTATTTTTTCCACCTGCATTGGAAGAAAAAAAACCCATGCTAGGTATTGTGGGTAGGAGAAAACTACCTTCTTAATGAAGGAGTAAGTGCTTCTCAACATTGCACTCTGAAATAGTAGATTTTAGTTACACTGTTGTTGGGGGCATTTCATATGAACATGTATTTGTACCTCAGCCTTCATACTTGTGGACTTCTTTGTGAAGTATTGTTTTTTAGTTTGCCCTCAGTTGCTAATGTTTTCCCCTCCTGCCACGATTTTGTCCTTCTATTTATTTTAAGTGCTCAAACACCCATCCATAGGGTGAATTCAAACTTTTATGATCAACAGGCATGAAGATGTATTTACTCTTCTGTCAATTCTCTAATCACATTGTAGACACTGAAGTATTGACTATAATCTTTTTTTTTTTCTGTGTAATTCTACCTGTGTTCTAGGTTCCTTTTGCTTTCTGAGAAAGCAATTTCGTTTTTAATTCTGAATTGACAACAAGTGAAGGCCACGTTTCTGGTATCATTTGATGTAAGGATTAATTTAGTCCCCTGTTAAGGATACCCAAATCCCTTCAGGATAAAGAAGAGCTACTGGAAAATGCCCTCAAGCCCTGAAAGCACACAAATTAAAGGACTGTAAACCTTGGACAAAGATTGTATCAGTGATGAATCTGCCATTTCATTTAACTGCAAGCCTCGCAATTATGGGAAAACTAACAGAGGCACCTAAGTGAGCAGGCAAACTGGGGCCATTTGTTTAAGTAAAACTTGCAGGCGTGAAACTCAATCTTTGCTTTTCTGTCACTGCTGTGTAGTCGTGCTTCAAAGACTATAGTGACCTTTTCTTCAACTTAGGAGTAATGTTTGACACTTCAGAAATTGCCTCTGATCAAAATAAAACCAGGTAACACAATGTATATGGGCTAATAAATAAATACATTGTAGGAAATTGCATGTGTTTGGGATCCATCATTTCAGAGTCTTGCCTATGACTGTGATTAAGGAAAAGATGCAACTCTGCCAGCGAGGAGAAGAGAGTTTCTGCCTTTTGTAAATATGCAGCACACTCAGAGTTATTTAGTGGGTTTTCTATAGATTTCGCCTTAGCTCTTATTCAGAAAAAAACCTGAAATGATTGAACTGTGTTGCTAGTAGTGCCTTTCTTTACAAAACATACCTGTTCAAAGACTGGATATCAGGTATCCATTCTTCTCAGAGACTGAGGAATAAATAAATAAATAAAGGCAAAAACCTAAATCTGCCCCCGTTTTCACCCTTCTGACTTACTGATGGCATATTGTTATAGCGTAACCAGTAGAGTTTAGACAAACTGCATTGTCCCTGCTGATATAAACCAAATGATGGAACTTCAGCCTTTGTTTTTCACACACCTAGGATTCTTCTGCAGTTTTTATCATATTTGAGACTGATGGCGTTTTGCACATCTTGCCAGAAACATAATCTTGTAAGACAGGTTCCCCCCAAATTGTATTTGAATGAATGTGTATGTAAACACATCATAAAAAAAAGTATTAAAGGTGCACTCTGAAATGAAAAGCTTGTATGCCAAAGGAAATAATAAGAGCTGTGGTTGCCAAATCTGTGTAAAGGTGATAGATTATGTCTCTCTCCATCTTGGCTGTAAAGGGAAAAGTATTAACAACACAGATGGCATGTTTATGAAGTTGAGAAGTACCGAAAGAAACTGGGAACAGAGAGTCATGCAATTGATCTGAAAAAGGAATCTCTTGGATTTCAGTCTCTTGCATTGCACTGTATTGGCTGCTGTAAGCTTGGAGGCTTCAGCACAAATACAGAGTATATGCATATGAAGTAGGAGAAGAGCTAAATTCTTTGTGTATCCCCATAATTTCATTTTTATTGTAAGCATTAACAGAAGTGTTTCGCCACTGTAATTGAGATCAAAAGGGAGCTATAGTGAAAGAAGTAAATGCTCTGTTGTGAAGTTCAGAGGTATAAAGCATGTGGAGTAGAATATGCCACCACATAAGAGTAAAAAGCACAATTTTGCATGTGCTTCTCTTTACTGTTCCTACTGATAGGATGACTGGAATAAGAAAAGAAAAGAAAAACACACCATCTTAAATGCTGTTTCGGTTTGTAGGCATGAAAGTTATGTCCTTGCAGGAAGCAATGCTGAGTGAAGAAACTTTGTTCAGCAGTATTAAAATGGAGTTGTCTTTCTCTTCGAGATATGCAAGTATACATTTGCTGTTACCCAAAGCATGCTGAAGTGTACAGGCCATCTTGAGCACCCTGTGGAATGCTGTCAGCTTGATTTGATGATCTTTATCATAACCACTTTGTGACTGGGGATGGGGGGGAAGAACAGCCTAAAAGGTGAGTAACAAGTTCTATTAGTCTAGATTTTTTTATGGCCGAAGTTATCAGTAGGTATAATCAAAGACCCTCTCATGTACATCAGAAAACTGTGATACTAAATGTTTATACTGTTGCTGCAGGCAACATTTCTGTAAAGCTAAAAATTGGCCCAAATCAGGAGGGCTCATACAGGTTTTCTGAGACCAGGAGTAGGGAAAATGTATGTATCAGTTCCAAAGTGTAGATCTCTTTCTGGTACTCCAGTTGTACACTTCTGTGGTAGGTGGTCTATACACATTAAAAATGCAACATTGCCACCAGCAGCAAGTAAAATGTACACAAGGAAAGATAGTGGTGAAGTAATAATAATAGGTTTTGTTGTTCTTTTTTGTGGACCTTAAGATGCTGTTAAAGTTACATCAGGAAAAGTTAGGCTGAAAAGATACCTTAATGGAGAGGATAGATCATAACTGTAGAAACTGAACTTTCCATCTCTGACAAAACAATATGAGAATGGAGGCAATGGTGAGATAAACAGTGTTTGACTCTTCTTCCTCCTCTTTGCCCCTGCTCCAGCTTTCTGTCCCAGGAGAGCGTAACAAAACAATGTCTTGGCTGTATCTATAGCAATTCAGTTTTTTAAGAGTGATACAAAGCTATGAGATCTTTGCCCTAATACAGTGTTTTCCTGATAGTTAATTCACATTCATGCCAAAGCTCTCACCTACAGGTACAATGAGAAACTCACCAGTAAAGCTCTTTTGAAAAAGACTTTTCAAATACTTGATTTTTTTTACCAGGCATTTTCCATGGATTTCAGTTTCATTTGTGGGTGTAAATGATAAAGTATTTCTGACTTACAAACAGAATAGCTAATAAATGATTTTGTGCAAATATATTTTGTCCTATAATGCACCTTTTCTATGGGCACTTGAGTCTGCGTGGCTAAACTGTTTAATGCAAAGCCCTGCTTGCTGCTGTACTGTTAGATTTCCAGTCAGCTTTAAAACAACTGAGATGAATGGGGGTTTCTTTGTATCTCTCCCTCTATTCATGAATTGAACTGTGTTCTGGGGAGAAAGTTTTGGAAGCATTTCATCTTGTTCTGCCAGTTTCCTTAGAGATTGCCAAAGTAAATTTTGTTGGTATTCTGTGCATACCAGATTATGTGTCAACTTAATTCTCAGCTTTTTGCTAAAAGCAGCTGATAGATTAACCCAGTCTGGAAATCATTATTATATAGAGTGTAATTAAATGGTAGGCGTTTCAGTGAATTGGATGGATTTTGTCTCTAGAGCTCCTAAAACCACTATTGTGAATATTGCCTTTTCTCAGTTGTGGCAATTCAGTGCTGCTACTGTTGTCATTCTCTCAGTGTAAAAGTGGGTTATAAAAAAAAAAAAAATTGTTCCCATCATAGTTCATTTTCTCTTAATCCAAATTATTACTTAGAAAGAACACTCAACAAACTTTAATGTCATGTGAGGATATGCTTTTCTTGGATATATGTATCCTTTAAGATCTTGTCTTAAAAGAGCTTGGAAGTAGTTCAAGACTGGTTTATGAACATTAATTTTGATTTTTCACGTGAATGCATACAATACAAAATTGTACATATTGTCTGGATACCTCTCCAGCATTCATGTACCAGTGGAACATTAACTTATCTTTTACTATCATAATTTTAGACAATGGAAATCGAAGGGTAGCATTTGCTGGAAATGTTGCGGCTGTTGAACTGCTAAGGGAAGTTCTGTGGAACAGAGATCCTGAGCCAACAATTTAATCTGTAAATTGCTATGTTTCTAGTCTTGTCTTTGAAGTAGTAAACTCAGATAAACTCCTTATCTGGGGATGCTTTGTTATCTTTTTCCTGTAAATGATGGATGATTCTAAGGTCACTGGAAACTTAGCAAGGTCAAATCACAGATGAACTAACAAACCAGAACTGAAAACTGAAAGTAACTGCACTTGAATACCAGAGATGCTATATTAGTCCACTTTAAGTTTTCTCTTAATTTATTAACAAACTGATAAGGGATCTCAATGCATATTTTATTTAAGTGTGCAAATAAGGGTATGTTGACATTGAAACATGAAAAGACAGTTATTCAATGAAATGAAATGCTGGCTTGAGGGGAAAAGGTTAATACAGTTTTGGCTTCCTCTAATGACTGTAGTTAAATATTGCCAATCAGGTAAATAGTACAGTAATGTTACTTTAATTTGAAAGTGGAATTGACAATACAGGAGAAACCAAGTGGAATGAGTATCAGAGACTGAGAAATCCGATCAGTTTAAGCCAGTGCAGTGGTGACAGACCTCAGCAAGATGATGTGCAAGATGATTTGTTTTGATATTTCTAACAGCCTTTGGTAAGACTGTCATCCATTGTCTTTTTCTAGTAATAGGGTCTGTTCTATTGTCTTAAAGAACACACTTCTCAAGATATTTTTTTCTGTTTCAGAGGTGTGGTTTTGTAGCAGCAGTTGTCTATGCCATTAAATGTACATCTGATGCATCCAGGTTATAGCCCATTTACAAATATTAAAATTACTGTTTTGTGTGAGACCCAGGATAAATATAGTTAATACCCTGCCTCCAACACTGACTAGTAGTGCCTGCTATAATGGTAAGAGCAAAGATTAGGGCAAGAAGCTAGTAATGTTCCCCCAGAATGTTTTCCCAGACTGCAACAATGTGAAACTTATGAGTTTGTATCTTTGTATTCTTCTTATGAAAATAATTTCGTTTTTATAAGTAAGTAGCCTCAGTTTCAACAACATCACAGTGTAATCACAAATTGGGTTAAGTGCTTCCTTTTGTTCTAAACACACTGCTCACTATTTTCATTTGATGTTCAATCATTCTCCACCATCTCCAAGCCACTCAAGATGTTAAAGTCTATGCATGTCAAGTATGAATATAATTTTCTAGGATACAGCAGACTTATGCTCATATTCTGGGTAGTCAATCTGCATTTATTCCATGGCCACTTGACTGGCATATCCAAACCTCCAGCATTTGTCTAAAACTACTCCTCTTTTCTGCCTAGAAATATTTTTAGTGGGGCTACTGTCCCACTTCAGGCCTGGAAATTCTGGACAAGTTCAAAATGTTCAGATTCTGCCTGGACATGTTACCAGGAAACTTGGAATAAGATGCCCTATGCAGTATTGGTGTGGTAGTTCAGTATGTATGGCCACTGTCTACACTGTATCGGTTCTCTTGTGTTTTACTAGTTACCTCATCTGAAGCTTCTTCTGCTGACCAGAAGTTCTTCACCATCACTCCTGAAAAGTAGTACACTGAAACCAACTCTTTCCAGTTCTCAAAATATGCAGTAAACTTCACCAACCAAAAGTTGACTTAGAACCTGACGGTGTTCCAGCATACTGATGCCAGAAAGTCCAGGAGGCTTTTTCACAGATTTCACTGAGCCACTTACCACTCCAGGCTGGTTGCCCACCAGCTAGTGAGAGTACAGAGAGTAGAGAGGATAGTGAGAGTACAGAGAGGATAACAAAGCTCCACACAAGTGGAGTGAGTGCCTGGAAGATGATGCATTGATGATGAAGATCAGGTATTAACTCCAGACACAGATTTTCAAAAGCTCTGTTCTTCTGCAAACATGGTAATTTCTGCTGGTCATCCAACGTGCAGTTACTATGTTTTCAGATAGAGCTTTTGAAGATTTCTGTCTGGAATTAATAACTAGTCCTCAGCAACAACACATAGCCTCACCTGTTGATATTAATTCCTCCAGCTCAAAACCTCTCCTTAATGCAGGAAGATCAGTCTCAGCTGTGACCAAAGCTGGCCTCCAGTTCTGTTATGTGGTCCTGCAGATACTAGTTCCTCACAGCTATCCTGCAACAACAGTAACAGCAACTCTTGCTGGGCATCTGTGTCTGCAAGCATGAACTGGTCTCATCTGTTGCTTTTCTGCAGAGTAACAACAGCCCACTGCTGGTCGTCTGCAGGACACGCAGGGAAGCTGCAAAGGAGGAGGTAACAAGCAGTGTGGGCTCAACAGAAAGGTAAGGATTAGCAAGGAAGAACCTACAGAGTGTTCCTTTTACATAACGGATCCTTAAATGGTGACAGCATCTGTGTAAGGCAAATGGCTCTCCAGTATATTGTGTGTTAGGGAGCACTGGGCTGTGGGGGGGATTGTGTGGTAACCACGATTTTCATAGGGTATGAAGATGGTTCCCTCAACACATCCCTCCAGATGCCAGTAATGCTCAGTGAAGGCCTGCGCAATTCAGCAGTAACCAGGTAGGTTTGTGTTATAGCATAGATTAAAATGGCAGCACAGATTAAAATGGCAGCACAGATGCACACGGAGGTGTCTTAAAAGGTGAGGAAAAACCCTGTTCCAGACTTGAAGGTGAGGGCAGAACTCCAAATGTTAGGAGTGAACTCAGATGGGTGTTGATGGAGACTTGAGATTCTTGCAAGGAAGAAACTGAAGCTTAGTGTACAATAATTTGACCATCATAGGGAATATGTCATCGCCGACCTGTTAAGTGCTCTTGGATGCTTTTCTGTTTGTGCTACAGACTGAATAATGATGAAGCTGGAGCATAAATAATTTTAGAATATCTTGTGAGAGAAATGAAAGATCTTTAAAAGATCTGTATTTCAGTTCCATATGTTGGGAAGTAAAGATGTGGAGATGATGAATGAGTGAAATGTAAAAGATGAATTTTCATATGTTACACCAGAGTTTAAAATTTCAACTAGTTCTTGTAATTCCATTCTCCTTGAGTACATTTAATTAATAGATCCACTTTTTAGTTTTCAAATGGAGATTTATTTTAAAATCCTCCATTCTATTATGTTCATTCATTTGGAATTCTAATTTGCTAGATTTACAATTTATATCACTATCGCTTTGTTTGACAATGCATTGTACTAAGAGGAAGATCTGACACACACTTTAAGTGGCTCTTACAACTGTCTGACCTTGTCTACACCACTGACAGTAGTGTAGAAAAGGTCAAGAATCTTGGATTCTGCCTTTGCCTTGTCTCTGGGGAAATTATGGCAGTTTTGGTTCAAGAAAAGATACCTGAAACATTGTAATTCCCAAACACAGTGGGGCCAAACAGCTACTCCTTGAGCTAATTAAAAGATACTAGCATAGCAACGCAAGTACTGACAAACTCTCTGAACATACACAATTTATGCAAACAAAAGGCTAACCAGAACAGATTTATACCAATCCTCTGAATGAAACAAACTGTACTGAAAAAGCAGCTTTTCCTAATGGAGTAACAGTGTTGGAATAAATGTGTCTACATTGTATGTTACATAAAGATGCTTATGAAAATTAGTTACTTAACTCTTCCTGAACATCAAGTTAAAAGAAATATCAAAGTAATAAAATACACATCCAAAGCTCACTAGATGGGAATCAACAGCAGGTCACATATTAAAATCAAATTAAATTCAAGCACACTAAGCTATAGAAATAAGATCTGAATACTGTGGTGAAGACAAAAAAAGGTAGCACATAATGCGTGTTTCTATGTGTCATTAAGTTAAATCAGAGTTTTTAATCAAAGCTGACTTTTTTTCTGACTGAAAAAAGGCATTTTTCTGATTACAGGGGGGAAATCTGGTAATAACAGAATGACAGGACCCCAGAAAAATACCACGACTGTAATTTAGTACTTGTCTTGACAGGTGGTTATACTAGAAATGGATTAGGTCAATTTGTCATAAACCATTTATACCAAAATAAACATGCCCCATGGAGCTAATAAGCTCTGCGTTTAAAATTATTTCTTGCTTAAATTCTAACATTGTGTTTCAAAGCCTTCAGGTTAGTTTGGGGCTGTACATTATATTATTTTGCCTCATTATCAATCCTATTTTCAATTGATCAATATAAATTAAATGTAAGTTTTCATTTTATCATTTAATGAATTGTAAAAAATAGCAAGTAACTAAGTACAGTGCTCTTAATGTTCATAATCCATGTTAGTTAAACCAACTTGATTTAAACCTTATAATCTTTTGTTTGGCTTCAGGATTTTATTTAAAAGCCTCTCAAAACACGAAAGGATTTCCTCTTAATTTCCAGTTGCATTGACTCATTCTCCTTGGTAATATAGTTATAAATAATTTTCTTTAGAGCTTTGAAGTATTTCTTTGTTCCATCAGACATTTGTCCATACGTTGCTGACAGTTCTTTTTTTATCTCTTGATTTTTTTAACATTTTATTTTGTGTTTCTCAAGGCTGACCACTGTTCTTTATTAGGCTGAACTGATTTCTTCATCTTCCTCAGAATCAGCGTCATCATTGTAGAAGTGAATTGTAGCTTGTACTGGAAAACTTGCCAGAACCTTCTCTCCGATGTTATTAAGAAACTTTTGGGATTTGGACTTGGGCAAATAGAGTCTAATAAGAAAACATATTTTTAGAGAAAAAGTAAAACTATGTGATTCCTTCCCAGCTAAGCTAGCTTGAATATTAAAACCCATTTTTATCTTTCTTTGGAGAGAGAAAAGTCCTACGGTTCCTTGTCTTTTAAAATAAAAGCTGCTAACTGAAAGGTAGTGTGGATTTTAAGTTACTTCAGTTGCTTTGGGCATATTGTGTATTGGATTTACATAAGGTCCCACCCCGATAAAGTGTTGCCAGGGGTGGCAACAATGATGCTTGCTTGAGATGGTTCAGTTTGGTTTGGTTTTTAGCACAGTTCAGAATGGAAGCATCCCATGAAACTGTGGGAAGCTTGAAGAATGTTTTGGGATTTAAGAGTAAGACACCAGGTTAAGATTGGGGTGGGTTGCCTGATGCACAGAGGTTGAGTCTAGTGGATTTTGTGTCTCGAGGAGGAGATGTACACTGAGAGAGATTTATTTCAAAATCCACATTGTTTTCTGTTGAAATCATAAATGTCTGAATTTACATTTCAAGTTTTCACCAGCTTTCCCACTAAAGCAAAACTTATGTGGTCTGTATACATACGTGGTTTTGTGTGCATATCTATGTACTTCTTTCTCTTCCTCTTCATTCCACTTTGGCCACTTTCCAATTAAATTTGACAGTGATAAGTCACACAGGCTTTTACAGCTTTTATTTTTAAAAAGTGCTTGTAAAGAAGGGGGATATTCCATGAATTTTCCTTCTCTAAACAGAAGTCCTAATCAGGAGTTTCTACATTGTTAAGCCTTAAAGAATCCAAATGCTGGTGAAAATGCTTATAAATCCCTCAAGCATAGGGAAAGCTTTACATGGAGTTAAACTTCTATTCAAGAGCAGATTTCAGCAACCTCAAGACACAGATCTGTAACAAGTCACATTCCATTAGCAGCTGTTCATGTTAATTATTTGGGCCTTGTGGGCTTGTTATATTAAATAAATGTAACTATAAATTAGATGAGGCAGAAGAACATTGTTTCTTTTAAGATTACTTTTTTTCTTATTTTCATTACTAGCATACTGTTTCAGGTTGTGTTCAGCCTGGTCATCTTTCTTTGTGAAGGAATAAAAATCTATGAAAACTGGTGAGTAGTTAAACTGCATTACTAAAAAGAGATACTCCAGAGAAAAACTGATACTTTTTCCGTGAAGGAATATGTCTTGTCTTGGAAGGTGTCACTTTTCCTGTATCAAGTGATAGGATTTAACTCACCTCACTGGATGTTGAAACCCCAGAGCTCCTTTTGATCTAAAATTTATTAGTTGATCATCCAGTTCTGACTGTAAAGAGACATATTTATTATTTAGAATAGGTTAAAAATTAAGATTTCACTTTTTTTTTTTTTACAGGCAACTAAAATTTTACAGTAATTTTGCTTTGTTTGTTGTGCTGCATGTTGTTTTGCTCTAAGTGTACTTTAGAGAAAATATGTGCCCACAGTCTGCCAATAGTTGCACATTTAACAAAGCATTTGAACTTCTACATTTTATAAGCCGTAAAGTCATGAAGTTGTACATTTTGCCTAAGTTCTTATGGAATATCTATAGCAACTGGTGGCCTAATAAAACCACCAAATGGAAGTGCAGTAATTGGAAGAAGAAAGGATTTAAAATCAGTTTAAAGGATTGGAATGTTAAGGTTTTATAAAACACCTCTTTATCAACACTAACCAGTAGTTTGGAGTTAGAATGTTCAAATTGGTAAGTTTATTTGCAATCAGAGATCACACAAGCATGTTAAAGAGTCCAAACAGTAAAATCAAGAGACAACTGGCATCTCATATTTCTATGCAAACAGCAATAAAAAAGCAAGCATTTTTGATACAACAGAGTAGGTAGCAAAAATATATTCTAAATGTCGAATTTAGCACAGAATATATTCCTTCAAATTAAGATCACAATAAAAAACCATAATTTACAAATGTTAATGTTATTAAATCCTATTAGGACTACAAACCTGGAATGTAAAACTGAAAGCATCTCCCAAAATCTTGTAGGCATGTATGCTCTTCCATATCTTAAGGAGACTTTTTTTTTCCTCCTGTTGCTATAAACTTGATGTTGCATAAAATAGGAAGATTTAGCTCTGCTATACTAGAAATTCTAGTGAAGAGTCTAGAAACTGTCCACTCTGCCACAAACAGACAAAGATGACTTTTGCCACTTCAGAGCAATTCATCTGTCTTTCTGAGGAAGTCGGCTTCGGCATGGAGATTCTGGTGAGCCTCAAAAAGCCCTTGGGCTACAGACTGAGGCAGGGGTCCTACGGAAGTCTCTCAGTGCCTTTTATGTTGTCCTATTTCTCTCATAGCCACCTGTTTGTATTGTAGCCAAAATTATTTGTCTTCAGGCTGTCAGGGTTTTGTTGATATTTTTGTTGGTGTTTAATCAGGACACTCATTTACTTTGTTTCCACAGTACCTATTAAAATGGGCTCCTGACCTGGCTGACCATTGTAGATGTGATCATAATATATGTGTTAAATACCACATATTATTTTTCTCCTTTCATATTTACATTCAAATTAGATTAGTATTTGTTATCTTTATTGACCTGTATTTTCTATCTGTCTTCTTTTTGGAATACATATTAATTTCTAATAATTATATGTGTAATAATACATATTGATTGAACACACATTACATGCTTTTTCCTTTCAGACTATAACACAGCATTTTCAAAAAGCAATTCTGGTAAAAGCCAATTAATTGCAAAATCTAACTCAGTTTGTATACAGCAGAAAATGTTCAGTGTTAATTTGTGTTATATTGTAGATATGTCAATGGCAACTTTAAATTACTTTTCATGGCTTTTCTTTGGGCATAAATAACATTGAATTTAGGTAGTAGGAAAAGTGCTACTTTTTATATAAGGAAAAGTATGTCATGTATAGGTAACTATAGGGTATATTGTAATACAAATTCTTGGCAATAGATGTAAAATTATTAGTGTATTTTTTTTACCAGTACTTTTGTTTTTTAGTGCTTTGCTCTGCATCTTTTTGTTTCTCTAGTTAGATTCTTATCTGTATATTCCTAAATATTTTTTTTTTTTTAAAATTCCACAGAGGACATTGAAACTTTTGATTCACTCTCCAATGTTTGGAGTGTCTACTGGCCTGTAAAGCATGGGCAGTTGTATGTATACATTGCAGAAAATAAATAGCCAGCATGCAGCTACTTAGCAAAAACATTGTGCTCAATTAATCTTTGAAGGCCTTCTGCTAGAAACTTCAGTAACTTTGCTGAAGAAGATACCTCTTGCCTTCTGCAACTGTGGGATGTAGGTATGCAGTAGCAAGCACTTCTTCCCACCTATGCACCCCACAAAGGATGCAAGCATCTTTCCTGTTAAAAAGCATATGAACTGGCCCCTAAAGCCCTCCTTCAGCCCTCCTTAGGTCCCAAGCTACAGAGACACAGGATGCTGAAGCAGTGTGGATGGGCCATAAGGTACAGATGAGAATCCTCTGGCAGGAAGGAGAAATGTTAAAAAAATTGAAACCCACTGTTTCAGTTATACTTCACTTGAAACAATGCCAGGCTGTTACCATGAATGTGGAAAACATGTATGGTTTGCTTTTCTCACACAAGTGGGCAGAACCCCAAGTGTGAATTAAAACTTTTGAGCTAGTTGGATAAAATTTTCTACAAAAACCTCAGTAATGAATCACAACTTCCTTTACTTCAGAAACTTTAGTTCCTTGAATTCATCACTGTAAGCATGTACTCTCATGAAAGTAAGGCTCCTCTCATCCTTAGCAAATTTACAGGTGCCCCTGGCAAAGCTTTGAACGCTGCTGGGAAGGATGCTTTTCTGCAGGCTTTCCCAAGGCACCAGCCAGGAGGAATGGGGCACTCCCTCAGACCTGTACAATTACAACCTCCATCAGCAGCAGACAAAAAGTACAAGTTAAAAAGCTGTTGCATGTGTTAGAACATTGTGGAAACTCTGAGTCTTTAAAGACTTGCACTAAGGAGACTTGTTGTCTTAACCTGCTGAGCCTTTGGTAAAAAGTTGAAGATGTAACTGTGGGTCTGATGCTTCAAATACTTATGCAGGTGCTTAAAACTAAACATGGGAGGAGCACTATTTCAATACATTTTTTAAAGTTTGCAGTGTTGGGACCCATGTTGAATGTACTTCAATCTCTATTTTTGTTCTTTGAGCCTAACGAATCTTCCTACATGAGTAGGTAAAACTAATAATCACGGTGCCTCTCAAAGGCACTTGGCAGTAAGAATTTTCTGTTGATTTCCTAGCTGGTTTAGCTATAAAAACATCTTTCCCCCCCCAAAAAATCAATAAAATTGTGCGCCTGAAATACGGCTTTTAAATTTCATCTTAAAGTCATTTTCACTCAAACTACCCCTATATACAAATTAGGCTTGATAATTTCAAACTGAGGTTATTCTTATTTTTATAATTAAGCAAATAAAAACTGTCAAAAGGTTGGTTTGAGCAAGCAGTGCTTTTGGCAGCTCTTTAATAACTGATAATGATTCTGTATCTGGTACAAAATTAGAGACACTCTTAACCATTATCATGTACAGAACACTGTAATTTGAACCATATTTTCTAACACTGAAGAAATGCTTGAAAGAAGAAATGAATAATGACTAAGACTCGTTTTCAGTGTTCAAATAGTTTCAATTTCTGCACCTGTTTTCTATAAGGAATATTTCCTCCAGAATTTAGTCTCACCATTTGTTGATTCTCTGTCATTTCGCTGTCTCTTGCTGTGAGCATCCAGGGCCTCCATAAAGCAGGGCTGCTGAAAGATTAAGATAGAATAGCGCTCCCACAGTTAATTCTTTGTGGCAATATCTGTACAGTACAGCTCCTTTTGTTAGATTCTGATGGTATCTTTATTTTTTTCTTTTCAACGCATTTTGATTTGGTAAACTTGATTGCTATGGCAATATTATGCTCTCTTCTGTCTACATTCTGATCAAACAAACGACATTTGCTTGCACATTTTTAGCTGAAGTGTCATTTCACTTTAAGATTTTGCAACTTAAAGTGACTATATTGAACTCCAAATCAAAATGTAATTAATACTGACATTTTGTATTTAGGCAGCACTGCTACAAAATAAAAAGTAACTCTTCCTCTCTGCCAGTATGTCTAAATGGTTATTTATTGAGTAAGCAACTCCTGCATTAAACCGACATGGGCAACCTGATCTATCAGTTTAAAAGAGCATATGCAGTGGTGGATGCTACATCTGCCTTTTGTTTGGTCAGGGGACAACAATTATGGATGCTCCTTTTGACAGCATTTTCCATCTCTGCTGCTGTGTAACAGATCCATACAGTTGTGGAAATGGAAAAGTGCTTTCAGATACAAAAAAGAAATAAATTTAAAAATAATAATAAATTGGTCATCGCCACCTTAATTTTCATTTGCTTCCATTTATAAGTAAGTTCCTAAACATTTGACTGAAAAGGCCAAAATATCGGCAAAACAAATAAAATACCCGTTCCAAGTGAAACGTTTTCAGAAACATATTTTGCCCTTTACTTCTGAAGATGGAAATTGTTTTCCGTTGTCTAGTCAATGCTGAAACTGTTACATGCAAAGGATACTTACAGTCGGAGTTTTGAAAGGAATACTGCTGAGGTAATCCTCCCTGCGGCTGCCCTTACCTCTCTGGGCGCTCCCCTGGCCGGGGTGGGTGCTGCTGCTGCCGCTGCTGCCGCCGGCCGCCCCCGGAGCGATGACAGATGCGACCCGCTGCAGCCCGGAGCGGGAGACCGGCAGCTGCACCCTCCATGGCATTTGATGGTCTAAAGCCTGTTGCAGGCTGGGCGCTTGCCTGGGCCTTTCAGCCCCTCCTTTAACTCCCAAGGAATACTTACCTAAAGCAAACATGGCCTCAGGTAAAAGGAGAGAAACGTCCTTAATGAGATATTTTTTTTTTTTTTTTTTTTTTTTTTTTTTTTTTTTTTTTTTTGGACTCCCACAAACAGTTCAAAGATAGGTCTCTCACGTGGGCAGGTTGTCCTGGGGAGAGCACTGCTAGAGAAACAGAGGCTTTTTGTTAAGTTTAGTTAGCAAATCACATGGAAAATAATCCACGCCCTATATCTTTCTGTCCCTGTTTTACAAAATACATATTTGCTCTATATTAAATATATGATGTAAATACTCTTTTGCATGTCTAGGGAAAACTCATCAACATCCTGTCCTAATAAAGTGTAACAAAGACTCAAAGAGAATTTTAAATAAAAAATAACTTTTTAAAAGACTGAAGTCTTTCCCATGTCCTAACTTTAAAAGAGATAAAGATACCAAAAATCAGTGAAGGTGAGAGAATTTAAAGACAGGCCTAGTGACATCCACAAGACTACTGGGATGTTCCTTTAATTTGATTGCTCTTTGATGGATGCAGATGAAAGCTTATGCCCAGAAAGATTATTTTGTCTGTCAAAGCATGACGGTTATGAATGCCATTGCCTTGAGGAATCTTTTATTTCAAAGCATGCAATATATGCTTTAAGCCTACAAAGGCTGACTAGAAACAGACTTCTTCCAAGCTTTCTTCCTACTGTTTTCCTTCGTAGTGTGCATTATTCATTGCCTGTTACCTTGTACAAGAACAATTATTACCTGGTGGATGATATTACCTAATTTTCGTTGTTGTGGTTCATTATTACAGTTCACTTTATTTCCCAACTACTGCAGAGATGTAAGAGGATTATAAGAACCAAAAGCTGAATTCTCTTTCCACCAGTGCTGTTTACACATTGACATCAAAGGGAACATATTCAGCTCTCAAATATAATTGGTTTCTACTGTGAACTTTCTTCCCAGCGCAAGAGACATAATTTTGTTTACTGAAGATGGAAGGTCCATTGATTATTTCGTAAGAATTAGGTCTCTTCTAGCTGACTCAGCTGAAGAAACCATCAAAACAGTTTGAGACGACACTGAAAATCCTCAGTGGGAGTCCGATCCCTTGGAGGTAAGCCTTGTGACTCTTTTTCAAGTTAAGATCCAGATAGATGGAGGTAGCATGTGTCCAGTCAGCAAGAAGGAGCTGGACTCACAGGTAAAGACTGGATATACTGCCTTGGAGATAACATTTTCCCTTGAAATTGTTCTGTATTCAAAAACATTGTATATATACCTTTGCATGTGGGTTTGGGGTTTTCTTGTGCTTTCGACTGATTTTGCTTAAAATTAAACTACATTCTTCCAACAGGGAGGAGCTTAGGTCAGATTTGAAAGTCAGACTGATTTTCCAAGATTGATGCAAGTTGTATTGTTGTATTAGCTACTTGGTGCTCCTAAGACTGCTAGAAGTAATAGTGTAACACAGGTTCTGATGTTTTTGAAATAGTCTTCAGTAACAAACCTAGGATTTGATTTGTTGAGGTCCAATTCTTACATAAATTTTTTCTGTTCTTTAAAACATCCCTTCTTGCTGTAATAAATAGACACATTTTAAACTCATGGTCAAAGCCATTAAATGCTATTCTGGGAAGCACTGACAACATGTAATAGAGCACTTACAGTCTAAATCTACTCCCTCCCACGTTTAAATACTGTGTGATATTTGTAAGGTTGTAATTAAGTAAATACTACTGTATCTCAAAAAAGAAAATATATGTACAGTCTCCATCACTTTAAACATTTATGTATCAAAATCAGTACAATTATTAGAATGAATAATATGGTGAATAATATTCAATTAACAAAATATATATTAAATAGCAGCATGGGTCCTGAGAAAAAATGGCAAACTTCTTAAGTAACCAAAATGGTAATTAAATATCTTACTGAATTGCAGTCTTAAATACACATATATAATTTCATCAGCTTAGTTTTGTTTAAACCTAATTTAACTTGATAGTCGAAAGGGAAGTATGCATTACACAACTGATCTCTATGGCCCTGATCTTGCAATCAGATCCGTATGTGAGGATAATTGATTTATAACTCTGGATAGAATCTGCCAACATGGATATTACTGCAGGACTAAAGCCTAAACTACTAACATATAGCTCTCCAGAAGATGCAAAGTCACCCTCAATTAAATCTGTCAATAAAGCCCTGCAAGACCAAATTTATTACAAAATTATTGAAAATATAATTATTTTAATGAAGCTATAACGTAATCTAATATAATTACATCTAACACTGTAGAAAAAATGTAAGTTAATATTACCTTATTGTACTAATTAATTGAAGCACACAGCTTTAACTGGTATTTTCATGCACATTATTAACTAAAATCGGGTTGCGGCTCTGTGGAAAATTGTTTATTCCAGTAAAATATAAGCAGGTGTAATAGTGTATGATCTCTAGTTTCTAAAAAAACCCCAGAAGGCAGAAGTTAGCTAATTTTAAGAACTATATTACTTTTTGCAATATACTTAATTTTAACGCAAGGTATTTGTTGAAGAACACTTTCCAGAATCAGCAAACACTGATTCTGTTACCGTTGCTCATCCATTTTTCCCAGAAGCCAGGAGTATTTTTCAGACTTCTGATACTACCTGAGAATAACTTTGACGGACTTGATTCTTATAAAAAGATGAGCCATAAGATAATTATTTTGTGCTAATTGGAAGAGGTTTTTTATCTTTGTGGGAAACCAGTTTACTCAGTTTTCTCATGACAGCACTTGAGTATTTGTAAGAATAAAGACTGCTTGATATAAACTGGTATAGTCAAGGGAACAGGATAGCATTACAGCATTTATAGTTTTGAATAATATCTGGTATTAAACAACATGACATAGGCATTTGTAGCCACTTAGCCACTAGCATGCAAAGCTCCCCAAAGAGAAATTGCTGGAAAAGATTTTAGGGAATAGAGGGAGGAGGAAACTGATCCATTCACACAGCATGGGCAAGGCCAGTCTCATAATATTCCTTTAAAGTCAAAAAGAGACACTCATCTATGCTGAGGTTATATGGTAATCAGCTCCCTGTTCTGAGCAGTCTCCGTTGGCAGCCTTCCCATGTGGGCTGTTTGAAGAGTGAAGGGAGATCTACCCCTCCTTGACTGAAGCCAGCCTTTCTCTCCAATGTGTGTGTGTGTGTGAATTTGCCAAGCTTGTGGGCAGAAATTCAAAATTTAGCCTATGCACTTTCTCCAGGGTTTTTCTAATTCTCCTTAAAAAATTTCATGTATGTCTGTGTGTGTCCAGCATCTTATGTCTTTCTGTAATCTTTTCTCTGTGACAAAACCCCACATGTTCTGGGAAGTCTGAGGGCTAATATTACTCACTGTTTCTTTCCAAGGCTTCCTTCCACCCTCCTATAAAGAGAAACTGGTTGACATAGTTATTTTAGCATACCTATTTTAGTAAATTTCCTGGTGCGCACAAGGCCTTGGCTTCACAATTATTTAAAAAAAGAGTGTTTCCCAATCTAAAATTCTTAACCTTTTAATCAGAGCTTGTCATGATTAAGGCTAAGCTACACTACAATAGAAACTAGAAAACCTTAAGCAACTCTATGACTTCAAATTATCCTAATTGAGAATGTGCCAACATATATAGAAACTCGTCTTAAAATGGTGACTGGTTTTGCCTGTATGCTGTTCTGTTTTACATTCCCTTGCATCATGAAGTTTTGATTCCATTTTCTCATCTACTCATAAACTTTTTCTGGGTAAGGGAACCTTAGAAAGAAAAAGGATCATAATATAGTTGACTGCATTTGATGCCACTACAGGATTAACCAAAGCATGTTCCTCATCGTGCAAAGGTTATGTAAACAGTTGTGTTTTGTGCTGTGCTCTGAAGGTCAGCAATGCATGTGCTGTTGAACTATTACGGGGAAAGTGAATTCCAAAGTTGAGAGCTTTCTTTTAAGGTTGTATGCTTTGCTTGTTTTCTTTCTTTTGATGTGCCTGGGTAAGTATTTTGACTTCCTGCATAAGATAAAGTCACACAAAGGAACAGTGTATAATGCCAAGTTAGGACCACTGAAGACATTGTTCCTCTCTCTGTAGAATGTGTACAGGATAGAGCAGCAGTACAAGGCTGGTATTACTTAAGCCTGAGATGGAGAATTATTTAAATCATTTGACCCTCCAACTGAGACTGTCATCTGTTTCTGCCATGCACTGTGGAAATCAAATAAAATTATGTCAGCGATTCCTACCATTTTGGATAAGCTTCTGCTGTGGGTGATGATTTAAAGAAGTAAAAACATCTGTCATGGTACTGGTGGTGTTTTTTTCATATTGATGTCCGCTCCAAAATGTACAGTGCCAATTTGTTCCTTGTTTATCTACAGTGTCAGCGCATTGTTGCTGGAGATCCATTTAGGAAATTCTTTTAGAATACCTATTTTAGTAAATTTCCAAACGCATACGAGGCCTTGAGTTCAGATTAATAAAAAAGAATGTGGCTTCATGCTCTGTTCAGGAAACATTTGTCATGTATCAGTCAGCTGCAACTTTCATGTTGCTGTCCGCTTCTTTCTTCTAGCCTTCTCGCATTTTTCCTCTTGCCTACTTTTCCTTCCTTTTCACTCACCCACTAAGTATCTGCTGGGATCAGACTGATATACATGTTCTTCTCACAGAGCTCAATGTTGTGACTTCCACATAAAAATATAAAAATTTATTTAAATTATTAAATAACTTTCATGCACAGACATATCAGAAGAATACAGAATACCGTGTATGAATTCTCTGTTGCATCTTCTGTAGTGGGCAAGTTGTGTTTGCAGCACACATGGCACATACGAAACCTACAGTTTTATTTCCCGATGGTCTGGTTCCTCATTCCAGCTTCAGTGACCATCCCTGACGAGCCCTGTCTTCCACCTTTCTTGTTAGGTGAATCCAAGGACTCTGCTGAAATCAAATGCATCTGTTTGTGCCTGCTTTGCCCTCTGGTGGCTATGCCGGAACAGGTAAGGGACCTGGAGGCTGGTGTCTTCGTCTGGTTCTGTGGTGGAGGGGATACTGCTCCTCTAGGATACCACGGACCCTGAAATAAGGTCGGGTGGCAGTGGGGAGCCACTTCCGAAAGAAGATGAGATTCTTCCCTGTTGCTGCACAGGAACAAGCAATGAATACTTAGGCTCTCACTGCTTTGCCTACTGGGTATGTGCTTTTCTGTGGCCCATAACGGCAACGTCAAATGCAGCTGACGGGAGAGCAAACTGGTTTCTGTAGCGGAAGCGTGAGTTCAGTTCCCTGCACTGCAGCCACACCACGGACGGCCCTGTGTGTGACAACCCCTGACCACAACACCGACCTGTGCCATTCGCCCTGACCCCTTGTCCCTCAGGACAGCGTTGGCTTTGCAGAGCAGAACTTCCCCGAGGAGCCGGGTCGTGGCACCCGGTGCAGGCGGACACAGGCCACTCCTCCTCACTGCCCCTCACGCCGGAGCCTGGGGACAACGGACATGGCGCAAGGCGACAACTCCCCGGGCTGGCCCATTTCAATGATTTTTTTTTCCTTTGCACGTTGTTTCAAAGCAGCAGTTTGTATTTCGGGGGGGCGCCGGGCGCTCCTTCGCACCAGCGGGCGCCAAACGCCCGGCC